CTCGTCATAAACTAAGCACGTATTTCCATGACGTTTGGATAATTAGGTAGGTGTGTGATCTACAGTACACGTTCAGAACATCTTAACAACACAATAAACGTAAGGTGCCAGGAAAGCGGCGACAAGCGGCGTGCCGCGGCTTGCAGGTCCGGCGAGGCTTCACCCCTGAATCCGACCAAAAACGAAACCCGGGAAAACTGTTTTCTGATTATTAACTATATAAAATGTTGTATTGGTTAAACTGTGCCAAATGCGAAACTGCGATGGCGTCTGACATCAGCGATCCGGCTACACAAGCACCGTCCTTTCAAATCACGTTGTATGTCCAGCCATTTTTAAAAAAACGAGTTTGCGTGCATGGTTTTGCGAGGTTAAATCAAACAGCGATTGCATTACACGATAGTGCGAATTTACAACGAGAAGGACAGCATTCTTCACCTTTTTCAGTCTCTTGGACAACATAGTCTTGTATAGGATTCGCCGTTTCAGCTTGGCTTTTAAATCGATAACTCGTAATTCTGACAATTTGTGCAGCCCTGCCCCCTCTGGGAGCTCAAGCGACACGGCGTCCGACGCAGACGAGCTCTCAGCCATGGTTCGGGATGCGAACGGTTCCGCTCGTTTAGATGTCCGAAGCTGCAGCTTCTGGCGAAAAGGCTCGGGACAAAAAGGCTGTTTCGGATACAAATAAAGACAACGCGATCGCTGGAGAATGCTCCGTATTTTCTGCAACTCGTATAACGTACACCGTTATCCCAGCCTCGAGACCCGAGTGAATAACAACAGACAGCGCCGGAGCGAATTACATGTGAAAGAATACGTAAAGGTGGGGGAATGCCACTAGATGGCAGTCTGACCGTTTAACATCTCCCTTTGTTTAAGACTATAAAGAACAATGTTAAATCCCTTTTGTTTATTGAAAAGTTAACAATTCCTAAACATTATTTATAACTAAGTTGTTAATGTGGCTAACCTGTGTGCATTTCACAATTGCTTTTCTAAGAGTCACTCTTGAAGCCATTTTGGTGGACGAGATATCCACCCACTCCGGGTAATGGTGCAGGCCTGCGGCAAGGCTGGGGTGCCGTTTGGAGTGTGAGAAAGAGGGGCCCCCAATGTAGTGTCTGCGGCAGAGACTCTACCATCCACAGGACACGATACAACAGCGGCCGGAGTGGTGGAACAGCTGTCCGAACTCCCGGCATGTTGTGAGAAAGCCTGATGGGGTCCTGGCCATGTTGCAGGTTCAGTGGGCCGCAGGTCGACCCGGTTACGTCGATAAAGGGACCCATCCACACCCACCAGATAAGAGCGAGGGGCAACCTTCTGCACACAGGTGCCCAGCTTCCGGATGCCCGTGTGATCACCAGGCAGGGGTTTCATCCTTATTCAGGTGCTTGAAGCCAGCTCAGGCCGATGGCTGGCAGCTTTGTCGTGGATCAGTTTGGAGCTCTGCCGTTTGTGGCGTAGGTCCTCCAGAACATCAGTCACAACACATTGGCTCTAGGAGGAAACTGGAAGCATGGCTTTGAGACGCCTGGCCATCAGGCGCTGAGACGGGCTGCTGTTCATTCCTTCAGTGGGGGTGTTGCTCCCCTGCAGGATGGCTTTCCATGGATCCTTGCCCCCACCCCTGCAGTGCCTTTTTTTGCAATTTTAACAGCTGATTCCGTCTTGCCATTTGCTTTGGGGTGTCTGGGTGAGGATGTAAAATGAGCAAACTCCCAGTCCTCCTTAAACTGACGGAACTGTTGACTGGCCGTTGTCGGTGATCACACGGTCCGGAATGCCATAGCGGGCAAACTGGGCTTTACAGCGTTAATAGTCTCTGCAGACATGCATGTTTATTTTGTTTCACTGTAACATTTTACTTGACGTTATAACACATGTTCATCTAAAGTCATATAATCTACATATCTTTGCTTTTAAAAAGCTAATGAATGTGGGACACCCTGGCCGCCCAGCCAATCACAGGGCAGACACACTCATACTTCAGAGATACTGGTTCGCCTGACTGCATGAGTTTGGATGGTGGGAGGAAGGCAGAATTCCTAGAGGTAACCTAGGCAACACTGGGAGAACATGCAAAGGCCATACACAGAGCACAGATGGGATTCGAACCCTGAACCTTACAGGTGTGAGCAGTGCTGGTCAACCCAAGCCATCTTCTGAAGGGAGC